AAAGAAAGTTGAAAAAAACAAAATAGTAGGCCAACATTAATTATTCAAAAAGGAGTCGAAGGAAACTTACCGGAGTCGCAACCATTTTCATATTAAACGACAAGATTAACGCTTGGGAAGTATCGGGTTCCAATGAATTTTCCACCAAGATGACTTCAACACCCTGGAACGCGAGGTTCAGCCATTCTCCGAGAAAAAGGTAAAATATACCGGCTTCGGCGAGCGCTCACCTGCATGTCACAATCCAAAATCATCGACGGTGGTGGAGCATCGTCCTTCGGAGCAGCTGCCCCAGAAGCAGCTTGCTTGACCTGCTTTGCTTTGGCGGCTTTCAAAGCATCCTGCTCATACTCATGCTGCTCAGGTGATGCGGTCACAGTGAAGAAACGAGTAAGGCAACCCAAGAACTCCGGACAAAGGCAGATGAAGAACGCCGTCATTTTCAACTTGACTGAAATAAAAAGCATTTTAAAGCAAATGGGGTAGGTTGAGAGGGGGGGGGGGAGAGGAAGGAGTTTTCCACCGCTGATGAACAAGTCGTGGAGGAATGGTCTACTTATACCGTACCGTGTCACTGAAGTAAGTCGAGTTGTGCCAACGGGAGGGGGGGGGGTCAATTTCTGGCACGACGCCAGCCCATTTTTCATCGAGATATCTTTATCGAGTAATATACCGTACTGTACTACCTGTACTACGCTTGCGAGCTTCACTGTATAGGTTTTCTCGCCACCCCCCCCCCCCACCTCCCCAACCGCGATTGAAAAATATGGTGATTGGGAAACTTTCCCTCAGTAAGGCCCCCACCACCTACTCCCGTAAAGCACCCCTCAGAACATAACCTGCTCTCTTCTTGCCAGATGTCATTGAGAATCGAAAAATCTACCACAGTTCAAGAGATTCTGACGCTGTCTGGGGAAGCGGGGGAGGGAGAGGGGGCGTTTTGTACTTTCACCACTTTTCGCTTGCTTTTTTTTCACCAGCAAAATTCTTGTGAAGCTGCGAAACGGTAAAAGTAAGCCGGTTTCGTCACAGGAATTTACAGGTCCTACCATGAAGGCCAGTGCGCGCTTTGCTGAGTACCGTTTGCTGCCCCCACTGAACCGAACCTTCTTTCACATAAAAGAAAAGTACTCACCATTTCTGTTCTGTTGAGGCAATCTTGGGAAGGAAACCCAGCGCTAGTGATAGCTTCAGCACCCGTCATATGTTCGATTTCTTGTCAAGGAGCTGATGAATCTTGGTCTGACCACGGCGTTCATCTGACATCGTGAACGTGTTCATTGATAAAGCCACATTCATCGAGTTGTCTTCCTGGAAGGCAATTATTCAGAGATCCTGTCTACGTTGATCACATCAATCGACCATTATGCACCCTTCATTGGAGCGACAAGCGACATTTCCCTCTGCTACATTAGAATACTAAGCGCAGTAATGAGGAAGATACTGTGGTACGTCTGACTCGCAGCAAGCCCATACTAACCTTACGTGGACACTGCCGTGAAAATATATTTGTCTTAGCAGTTAGCCATAAGACAGTCACCCAAAGCTAGCCATAAGCAGTCAACCCAAAGAAAACCCACCCTCTTCGAAATTTACGTTATTCATACCTCATCTAATTACGGTGATTCATACGTCATCAACTATGACGCCCCATTTAGATGGCAATCCGACCACTGCTTTCAGCCGTTTTTTTAATTTCTTCAGAATGTTCGTCCCTAGCCCTAACTTACGAGAAAAAAATCGCGGAGCGCAGCGATTCTTCTCATCAGACCACCCAGCCACATTGGTTGTTTTCGTTTTTTTTTCGCTAGCCGATTCATTGGGGCTACCTTTATGATGAGGAAACTATAGAGGTTTCATCGCTCTTCTATGAATCCCCTCATTTTGACGGTACTGCAAAACCTTTTTGGAGTCCTGTTTTGTGAAAGTTTCAACATTTACGAATTATGCAACTAGAACTAGAAATCTGTTCGGCCGAAGAGCACGGAAAAGTCGAGTCAAAGTACTTACCTTGATCGATCCACTGAGCTTCAGTCCGAGTAGTTTCATGGAAGCAAAAACATTTGCATCGGGTCGTCTGGTAGAACCATCCTCAGTACCACCTGAATCACGATGAATATCACAGTGTGGATCGATGCAAAGAGCGTCATTCAGATTTTTTTGCACCACTTTTACGCCAAACTGCATTCGTTATCACTGAAGTCACTGGGGGTATGTCAGCGGAGTGGGGATTTTGGCACCGCTCCAGCCCCTTTCCCACCACTCAGTGAACGCTCAAAGCGACGATAGATGAACAAAGGGCTAGCGTCGCGCAAAAACCCACCATCTGCTGACGCGCCCAACTGACTTCAGCGTTAACGACTGCACCTAGGTGTTGGTGCAAATGTCGCTCACGCGACACCACTTGAAACGCCTCTTTCCGCGACTTCAGATGCCACACCTCACTCCCACCAACCCCCAGCAAACGGCCAGCGAAGGAATCGTGGACTGAACACAGCAATACACAAAAGGAATTCCGCCGCTGAAAAATGACGCGAATGGAGGAGCATGAAAACGAGTTTTACTGCGCAATATCAAGAGGGAGTTTATTTGTACAGAAAATTCTTCCAACTTCGTGATTCCCTATAGGAATAGCCCATACTAACTGTGGGCGAGGACTCAAAATCATTACGTGGACCTAACGAGCGCAGGCCGCCTCACCACCGCCTTGTGGTTGGTGGCTTACTCATTGGTTAGACTTGAGTGGATACCAGTGAAGAATGCACTGTTCCCATTCTGTTCTGCTCTGTTTCTACACGATTAGCGTGAACTGCATTTTTGAATGAAAGAACGAACTACCAAGGGTGAAGATCTAATTAAACGACCTTTCAGCACATCCATTCCTCTTTCTCCTTCGAAGCTAGCGAACATTAGCACACAATACTCTTTGAACTCAGAACTGTGTTCAAAAAATCCTACCAGTGTACAGCACAGCCATTATCTGATCCATAGAAAACTGGAAAATAATCCTCGGCTTCGGAGCTTCTACAGGAGGAGGCGTCTCCACTTTTGGAGCACTGGAGGCAGTTGAGAGCACTTTCTTCTTCTCTTGAGGACCCTGTTAACGGCTTTCAATGAGGGAGCTGATACTGTAAGGAGAGTGGGCAGGTCAACCTAACCTTTTCATCGGCTTTATCCTCCTCCGGTTCAGGCACGCTGGTGAGGTGGTGGTTCATCAATAACGTTCCCTTCCGAAAGATTTCCGGTGAGCGTCTGGAAAGTTTTATCTCGAAAATACTAAGGAGTACACTTGAGGAAGTTCAGGTTGATCGCACGGACGGAAACAGAATCATTGAGCCTCGCTGGTGCAGCTTTTGAAACGCTAAAGAGAACAGTGTGCTAATAAGGAATGTTCAGAAGGCATAATGGTTTTCTATCTCCGCTCATACCTTCAGCGTCAGTTGCGCTTCGAGAAAAAGGCAAAATTTTTTCAACAAAACAGCACGCTCTTCAAGGTAATTACTTCAGAAGATAGCTAAAAAACCACGCAAAATTTCAGCTCTTAACCTGCATCAAAGTGCTGTAATCGTGCTCTGACATATTCACAGCAAGTGAGGGAATCTGTGCATCCACAGCGATCCCTCAGGAAAGATCCTTAGCAGTTAGAGAATACCAAATTCCCTGAATCTCTCTTCGTCAAATAATAAAGGACATTGGAAAAGGGCACATTCGTTATAAATCTCCGTCCATCTTACGTCTTTTAACGACAGTCCTCGCGCTCGATCAAATGGTGGACGTCCTTCCCTGTCTGGGTGAGCAGACTCAGGACTACTCCGCTTTCGCGACTCCAGAGTGAGTGACAAGGCAGCTATAGCCGTCGACAGTTCAAGTTCGGACATCCGCTCATTTGGACCGCCTACCCAAAAACGTCCTCTTTACACTTAACGCGAGGCGCTCAATTGTTGCTTGGTGGAAAGACCGGGAGAAATCCTGCTCCTAAGCGCATTTTCGCTGACATCGCTCGCGCTCACAGAGCGAAGGAACGATTAGTGAGCCAGAGGGGGCAGCTGGCATCAAACAGCAGGACCGAGAACCTAGGCACAGTGAGGCTGCCAGGCGAGCTCACTAAAGGTCTTCTGAGGGGTTATTTTTTTTCGCTTTTTCCCTCCCTGGGGAATAAATTAGCGAATATAGGGTCGTAATTGAACGCTAATTACCTTCAATGTGCAGGCACGGCGTTCATTTGAACACAGCCTTACTAGTATAGTAGAATGACTTGAATTGAGTTGTCTTTCCAAAAGGTATCTTAGGAAGGATAAGAAGGGAGTACCTGTGAACTGTGACATTGAAAGACAGCGGTTGCAAAATGTCGCAAGTACCCAATAATTGTGATGCATCTGCGTCTACGGAACCTCTAAAAACCATCAAATCTATAAAGTCGAAGAGCTAGAAAACTAAAATTTCAATGAAACTAACATTCCAAATTTCATATCCGACTTATTCCATTCGGTCTAGTATCAGTTTGGGATTCTTCTTGTCTCCAGTGATTTGGTTGTTAACGATGAGTCTACCTGAAAATCTCTCCTAAAAACCGAGCAAGCATCTGCGCAAGTGGCATAGAAAACCTCAGGAAAAATTAGAAAAAAAAATTAGAAACTATAAATAAGCAATAAAAAAGGAAAAATAAAGAAAACAGTAACAATGGTTACCTAGAACAAGCACTATCACATTGCGACTGACAGACAGCTGTGGAAGCAATATCACAGGCGCCTCAAGTTCAACATCAAGTTGAATTCGTGGCGGATTCTCAGCCATTATCTGCTTCACATTTTGCGCAGCCTCCTGAGCTCTTTCAGATGCTGCCTAAAAACCAATATACAGTCAGTAAAGCAGTATGCTGTAAAGTGTAGTACGAGATAAAGGGATACATTCTGAAGTTCCTGATCTTGATAAGATCCTTCTCGGGATGTGCCACGCACTCCACTTCAATTTAGGATCGCACTGGCAGTCCAAGGTGATCTGACCCATTTAATGGCTTGCAGAGATAAACCGATGAACCAGTGATTTTATCCTCAACCGAGACAAGCACTGGTATCGATAAGTGACCAAGAGCGGAGTTAGGCTAAATTGTTCCGAGGGCGGGAGCACAACCCAAATGTGGCGTTCCGATTTTTTGCCGCTAACAGCCACCGTTTATACATTGCCTTCAATCGTGACGGGTAAAGAAAAGCGTGTCACGATGGTTAGACGCTAAAGGATAAAGTCTTCGCCGTTGATCAATCCCTTTGTGGGATGCGGCACGCATTCTACCATTCAGAATCGTAGTGGCCTTATTGAATGCGATGTGGCCTATACAGGGGGGGCCAAAAAAAAGTCATTTTGCCTCCATGACTTTCAAGGCGCTATAAGTTACACTTTATTAAATTTTTTATCGGACATTTTTACTACCATATTAAAGAGCACATTAAATACTATAACGATACTCCGCCACAGCCTTCTGGAGGAGCGCCATCGAGAGATTCGGCCGCGCGAAGTGAGTGGGTACCGGAGTTGAGCGAGATCGTTGATTTCTCCGCCACTGTAGACCACCCTGTTGAGCTCCGCCCGAACCGAGTAATTGAGGGGGTTTAGTTCAGGACCCCCGCTTAAATACTCCATCTTTTCCAGGTACTCAACGTTCTTCATTCCAAGTAGGCGAAAGTTTTTCCAACGCCCTTCGATTAAATGTGTTGTCACCCAATCCTGTAGCAGTACAAAGTTTCCAAGAAGGTACGGGCGACGACATGAAGATGGGATATTCTCCTCGAGTTGCTCGATGTAGCCACCAGCGCACACCCTCAGTCTGGGGCCCACGAAGAAAATATCGGTTCATCCATTCCAGGTACGGCCGGTCCACACCATCAACCCGCGCTTGGTGAATGGGGTGAAGATGATGTCCTGGACCGTAGCGACGTTGCCGGAGCTGCTCGATGTTTGAGGTCTTGCAGATCAAGAGTACTGGTCTCCAGGTAGCTATCCATGGGTGATTCCATTCAAGAAGTTCCGCAGCTGTTTGGAGGCCACGTGAATTCCAAAGGCGTTCTCCACTCAGGCCGGAGATGACTTCATATTTTGGTGTACATGAAGGTGAATGGCGGCAGCCGGCTCCTGCTTATAGAGGAAGATCTTGGGTATCTTCCGCCCTGGTACTCATATCCACTTCCTCTGTCTGGGCTGCGAAAACTTCGCTCATATGTGACTCGGCCGGAATGACTTTTTTTTGGCCCCCCTGTACAATGACTTGCGGTGGCCAGCCCGATGTACAAGTCAGTGTTTTATCCTCCCAGACGAATCTGGTACCAATTTACCGTCCCCGGAGGGTAGAAGGCTTGGCCTTGGCGCTGGCCCGGGTTTTTCCCACCCCGGCGCCGCGCGAGTGTAAAGCATGTTCACAGTCGCCAGCCCGTGAACGAAAACGGGCGGTTGGGAGAAAAGCAATAAATAGTCATCGATCGGAGAATCGCCCAACCGCCCAACCGTCCAACCGCCGCGGTTGGGCGGTTGGGCGAAAAGCAGTAGATGTGTATCGATTTCGCTGGCGAAAAACGCCACCGCGATGGAGCTAGCGTTTTGTCGAAGGCGAAAAACGTCGCGGTTTGGCGAAACGCCCGTCGATACGTACCAAAACCCTTTCGCCCAACCGCCAGGCTCTTCGCCCAACCGCCAGTCGATATGTATCGAAAGCTTTTCGCCGAACCGCCGCGTTTCAGAGAAACGCTGGACCGCAGAGTGTGAACAATGCCTAAGCGCGCCACTTGTCACTACTCACCACCTCGGCCGGGTTAGACGCTAACAACGCGAAAACTAAGAACAATAAATCACAAGCCCACCTCTACCCCTACCCACGGCACAGCATTGTTACGCGAATCTCATCACGTAAGGGGGAGGGGAAGGGTCTACTTGGTCTCTGGGGAGAGGGTCATATTTGGTTGATGGGGTCGTACCTAGTCTCAACAGAAATTTTCCCCAACCGCGAGAGAAATTCCCCAGTTCTTGACTTTTCGCAATTTTTTCCGTTTTTGAACTTTTCGCAATTTTTTCCGTCTCCTGCGTGTTATACTTCCCACCCCTTTGTGGACTGCACCATCGGAGTCCTATACAATTATACTATTTCCGATAGTTGAGATTAGTGGTTGTTCGGCGACGATCTATCTTCCTTCCCCCCCCCAAACCCTCTACCTGCTCTAGTTTTCCCAGGGAAAAACTGGAAAATTTCCGAGGAAAATTGGTAGGTTGTTAGGAGCTCAAGAAGGCAGTAGTAAAGGGAGATGATTATCGAAAAATTTCTCTCGTCCTAA